CCCCTTTAGAGGTGGATGACGATTGTAGATTAGGAAAACTGGTAGGGAGGGATTTTGGGAGCTTAGTCAAGTATAGGGTAGAAAAAACCTGAGATGTCACTAAGATTTCAAGTTGCTAGTGTAAATAATACAACAAGTAGGCTGGGAATAAAACAGCTAGGGATTCCTTTTGGTTCTATTTCTTTTCTATTTCCTGATGAAAGTAGCCAGGGAAATCCCCCGCCCCTGCCTCTAGCTTAATGACAGCCCCGAAAATGAAGCCACTCTAGATCTCATTATAGGCTCCCAGCAGCACATCCCCACCCAAAAATTCCTCTGGTACCCCTCGCCCCCACCTCCCCTTCAGGGTAAAGCCTTTGCTCTTGAAAATGACAAGAAGCCAAGTTCTAGCTTTTTAAATTTTTTGCTTGCTTTTTCCATCTGGCTTCACAACGTATGCCAAACTTACATGTAGTTCAGAGCCTGAATATTTTATTCTTGAGTTTAAATTTTAAATGAGTAATAGATGCTATTGAGTATGCTGTGATGTTTTTGTTTCAGAGGAGGGTGTGGTTATGGTTCAGAGAGTGAGGGTGAAGAGCCTGCAGACTCTAGGGTAACATTACCACAGGATGTGCCAGGAAGAGGCAATGTCAAGGCTCAGCAGAGTGCAATCAGACTTACAGAGGTATGCATACAGACGTAAGTGATGCTGATTGATTGAAAAAGAGGTAGAGCTATAGGCGAATCTTTGCTGACCTCATTGTTTACATTTTTCCTCATTAGCATACACCCTTTTTGGCTAGCTGATAGAAGCCGTGGCCATATATACAATCTGAGCGCTAAGTTGAAAGAGCTGATTAACTTGAGCAATTTGTGCAATTTTCATCTCTTTGCAAGCAAAATTGAAGGAAATACTAGCCATGAAAACTGTAAAATTAATGGGTGGCAAAAAAGATAATGAGCCATACATTCTTTGTAAAATTTTGAATCTGTAAAAGAGAATTTCTCCAAAACCATTTGGTATATTGGGCAAAAATTTTCAGAGATAACTGAAATTGTTATGATCTTTCAATATTCTGAGATTTTATTTTATTAGCTCCATCAGATAATGATTAGCATTTGTTAATGAGGCAAAAAATGTGAACAAAGATTCGCCAATCGGTAGTATTATCCTCCTACTAAAAGGTCCTTTGTGCCAACCTGGGAGCATTGCTACTTCCCTCTGGACATCTGCCAGTCTTTTGCAGCTGTACTGACACCTACTGCTACTGTTTCCGGTACCCCTATGTCATACTGGGCCAAGTTGTTTTAAAAGACAATTGGCACAAATTCTCTGTTAGTTACCATGACAACTGATATGTTCTGTTTATAGTTAATCCAGGATTACTACGAAGTTTGCTTCAAACAACTTGGCCCCAATTCTCAGACAAGCTGACAACACTCACTGCCCCCTTACTGAATGACATTGCATCATTGAGGTCATTCACTTATGGTATATATCTCAGTGGATAGAGACAGTTCGGAGAAAGCACAGGCCATCATCGGATCTAAAATAACTCAACACCACTGCACAGCTACAGGCTAGAAACGAGCCTATAAAAAAATTATTTTTGGTGGTTTTGACAGTACTGATTCTAGCAATTTGAGGATTTACACTAATTGTCATCCTTATCATCATCATCATCATCATCATCAATCTTTACTTGTACTTGAAATCGTTCTGTAATTACATGGGCTCCCTGGGAGTCATGTGGATTTTTAATACAGCTTAGGGTGGATTAAAGTGGAATAAAACTTATGTGCTCAACATTTTCAATTTATGTGTTAAAAATAATATTTCACATATCTCACGTGAAGGTAGTAAATGACCTTCAAGTAATCAGAAGACCCATTTTATCTCTACTTGATTAAAAAGTTGAAACACTTGCTGGAGGGTTAATGGCTGTTTTATTTTGTTTTATTTTTTTGTTTTGTCCGTATGATGCCGTTATGACATACCTTACATTCATCAAACATTTTATTGTTTCCAGCTTGGACCTCGGTTGTGCCTTCAGCTAATTAAGATCCAGGAAGGAATGTGTTCCGGAGAAGTTCTTTTTCATGAGTTTGGTGAGATTGACAGTTTTTCCTGAACTTAAGTTGCCTTCACGGCAGGATTAGCTTAGTAGTTAGAGCGCTTGACTGCAGAGCAGGAGGTCGTGGGATCAATTCCCGAGCCAGAACAATACTCGGTCTTAACTAAAATAACTGAGAAATGAAGGTGTACTGCCTTGTCCTACAATCGGCTAGATCCTCACATGGCTCAGATGACCATGTAAAACGGTGGTCCCGTCGTAAGTGGGAGAGATAAAAGTAGTGTCCTCAATTATTACTATTATCCTAAATACATTGACACTCAAATAAAGAGCTTTTTTATCTTAATGGATCGAGAGAAGTCGTTGCGTAAAGTAACCTGAACTGTTTCACGGTTGTACTGTTCATGGCATCCCAGTTATTAGTGCTTCATTCATTATTAATAGTTTCCTTTATTTCTTTTTGTGTCACTAGTAAAAAAGACAGCTGAAGAAATCCGAGAATTGAAAAGACAAAAAGAGGAAAAAAGGTATGAATCCATCAAAATTATCGTCATTTTTAATATAAGTGATGTAATATTCATATCCCGCATGCGGAACAGGCGTTTAACAGGCAACAGCGAAGTGCAAGGAAAGCGTTGTGCTGTGATCAGGCCAATACACTCTTCCTCTCCGCTACTTCAAACCTTTAATCAACCACACTTCAGTCTCGCTGAATATTTTTGACATTGACCCTTGAGTTCGGTGAATCCACCATGCCCATGTCACAATTTCATTTTCCTCGATCTGCGTCTTACTAACTAAGCGATTGTTACTTGGCGTTTTGTTTTCTTTAAACGTGTGCTTTTAAGAGTCGCTCACTTGTGCTCTGGATTTTCATTTTGTTCAAAGGAAGTTGAAAGAGCGAAGGAAGAAACAGCAGCAAGAAAACGTGAAGAAAAAAGAAAAGGAGAAGGCGCTCAACAAGTAGGTAGCTTTGAAAAGTCACAATACAGTGTGAGGCAGAGGACCGGGACAGTGAGTCTGGTGAAAAATAGCTTGCGTGGGAGACGCGCGAGAATGTGATGGGCGCGTCACGTTCTCGCACCCCTTATTTGGCCCTTTCCCTTCCCTTTCAAAATTCTGTAACCCAGGCAAAGTAAAGAGGCGGCGTCAGGGGATAGGGGTAGGGGTAAGTGGGTAGGGATTGGGATATGAGCAGGAGCGGAATCAAGGGTATGACCACGCAGGCCATATCCCTTGAAAAGTCAGCATTTCATCACTTTAGCGGTAATGTTTTCCTCCGCTAACTTGTTTGATTTTAGGTCAGTTTATGATTGAGGGCGTTTCTTGTTTGTTTGACACTAGAGCGCGAAGCATTGAAGGTCAAATGAAGAAGCAGAAGTTAGAGAAACAAGACGAAGAGGCTGATGCAGAAGGTTTGTGTATTGTAGCATCCGCTCTCATTTCTCTAACGCCAGTCATATCTCAAGTTTATTTCCTTAAGCTTCTCGTTCAGTCCAATCTTGCAGGCACAACTAAGAAAGTTGCAACGACTTTAGGCCATTTCACGGTCGTCGTAGCCAAAGGCAAAAAATGTGTCGGGATAATAAGTTATCTTTGTTGCGGCTTTAAGATGAGTATCGAACGTTTATCAACAGGTGATGTAGCCATGACTGCGGATGACGTCATGGACAGTGACGATGCTGATTGGTACAGACAAGAAGTTGGTGCAGAACCCGACCCTGGTAAGTTGCGCCGGAGAAAAATTCAACTTCTGCACCTTTGAACTGCAACTAACCAAACACTTCCAATTATTTTTCTTTTGCAAAAATAAGGGATGTAATTTTAAAATGTGAAAAGTGTCATGAATCCAGTTGGTTGTAGATTAAAACCGTCTTAAATGTGACATGTTGTGCATCGTCGTGGAAACGTTTATGGATATAATTTATAGGGCTACCTTAGTTTTTGCTTTACTTGTGTAATGTTTTTGTACAGAGAGGTGTTATTTCAAGAATCCGTGGTTATGTTTACAGCCAGTTGAGTGGTTTCTTATTTATTTTTCTCTCTAGAACTCTTTCCAAAAACCCGCAAAAAAAGGAATTCCAAGGAAAAGTCGCAACCAGGAAAGAAGAGAAGGCACCCAGACGATAAAGCGGAAACAGCGGAGAAATCTTCCAAAGAAACAAAACATCGAAAATCCCAACAAGACAAAAAAGTAAACAAATCTGTTAAATTCAAAGTAACTAAGAAAGGAGTGAAAAACAGAGGAAAGCATGTTAAATTAAAAAGAAAGTCTCGAAAGTGATACAGAACTTCGTGCTTGGCTTCAAAGTCGAGTCAAATCCTGGAAGCATTGCAAATTAAAGAATCCAAGAAGATCCTTAAAAATAAAGACTTCGCTACCATTGACGTACAAATCTATTCATTACGGGGTTTTGAAATCTATCCACTTTGTGGTCATCACTCAAGAACTCAGGCCCGTAGGGAGTGGAGGTGTGACGGGTCCTCCCCTCCCCCCCCCCCCGCTACCCACCCAGGCCCCAGAGGTCCACTTTTTTGTTGACCAGTGATTTTAAACAAAGTGAATTGAGAGTATTTTCTATTCTAATTCACTGATTGTGCAGTAAAATTGAAAATACTGTGAGCTTTCCACAAAACGTTTTTCAAGTTTATAGCCTTCGTGTAAAAGTTTAAAAACGAGGATTTGGTAATTGCCTGTACGGAATTTACCCCTTGCTAATATGTCGCTTACTCCTTTATTTTTTCCTCAAGTCTGCTTTGTAGAATTAGTAGTGCGGATTGGGCAAATGTTTTCTTGCCGCTTTTCTTTCACTGGGAGGTTATGTGGTCTTTTACCGCACAGTGGCTGCCTGTGGTTTCATATCTTTACTCTATCAGAAATTGACCTCTGATTGCTAGCTGAAGGCTTTAGTATTTTCCTTTTTTATTTTCAAAAGTGGCTTTATAACATTTAGTGTATTTTTCCATAGTTTCCTGCAAAGTGGTAGATGTGAATTATTATTTTAACAGTAAGAGGTTCCCCGGTATAGTTTAGACATGCTGGACCCACCTCTTTAGCGTTACTTGTAATATATTGAAGCTCGTATTAACCTATTAAAGTTACCCTACTCGTGTAGCGTAAAAAAAAATTTCACCGCCAGTCGGTCAACAGTTTTGCTTGCATCAGTCAACTGCAAGCCCTTTCATGGAAATTAAAATAAATACCTGTCCAGTCTTAGGACAGCAGCGAGTCTTAGGACTGCAGCGCGATGTTGTTATTATTTCTCCCTTTGCAGTTGACAGTTGCTAGCCTGACGGAGTAACATTCCTTTTAACTTTGTTTTGTTTTTGTGGCGAGAGCAGTACAACCGTTCTGACTGGCTTAATTGATCTTACACTTTTCAAAGGCCGTATGAAGGTTTGAAATTCTCGTTTTTCAATTGCCTGCCAACAGCCAATCACAAAGGGTGGATCTTGGACCCTCTTGTGCTTGAAGGAGATGAAGGTATGCACTGTTCCTTTTTTGTGTAGCCCTTCGTCTTTGAGGATGTTTAAAACATCTGCTGTTTTCTGTGGCCAAAAGGTAGTATATCCGGATGATGCAAACTTTGCAAATAGTGCAGATTTACAACTTCCTTTCTATTTTATTTTTCCTTTTTAATAGTGACATTGACATTCTCCAAACTTGTAAAATAAAGTGGTCCGGCTTTGAAACAAATCACTTTTGAAATTTAACAGTTTGAGAAATACTAACCAATGTTTTTCAAAACGCTCGTACTTTGCTCGTAATACAGTCTTAGACAGCCTAGTCCCCCCCCCCCCCCCGCCACTCCCGCTAGGGCCGGCACTCGCGCCTCTGGCCTCGTTTGCGTCTACTCGTTGGATCGAACCTCCCCCCACTCCCCAAAAAAAAAAAAAAAAAAAAAAAAAAACCCTGGCTACGGGCCTAAATACCCGCTCTGAAGGTTGGTTAAGTAAGAATCTTTCATTACAGTGAAATGCGGGAGAGGATGATTCTGTTTTCAGAACTAATAGTTCATAGCCATTGTGTCACAGCGGTCTGTGTGTATTAAAAAAGCGTGGTCAAATAGTTCATCTTCATTCAACTCATGGACCGAATTGGCCATTCTTGTCCCAAAATCCCAAGACATTGGGGTCATTTCACTTCTACATGCGCTGAAAAAAGAGACCTCAAGACTTATTTCCTGTGTTTTATCACGCACCAATCCTGTCCAAATAAATTTTCGCCAGTTTTAATTCAACATATCAATTGAATGAATTTCCCCACAGGTCAATTACCAGCCCATTCTTTTAAATAAAACTATAATGACTCAACAACGCTTTGAAACTAATTGATTGTTTCAACAAGCAAACAAGCCTATTTTTCTAAGTACTTTATTTCAACAGAAGTCGCAGTATTCGGTATTTATAGTCTTACAATGATATATCAAAGCCGCTAACACCACTACTAATAATAATTATATAGATTATCTTGACTTTTAAGTTTGACATTGCCCGGCGTTGACATTTCTTACCACTATATAAAATAATATTAGAGGTAAAGTTCAACAACAACGACGTCCACTAACGTGTATACAGCCAATTACTACCAAATTGAGAGCTCTTTCAAACGTGTATGTAGCAAAGAAGGGCGATGAAATGTAACAACTGAGATTATCATAGTTTGCCATAGCCGTGTTGCTCGCAACAAATGTTATGATAGGTTCGATAAGAGTTCGATTAGCTGTGACCAGCACATTTGACAATGGCTTTTGCTGACAACTACACAAGATCTTGTTTGACTAAAAATGAATAGAAATTACTTACGAAAAATAAAAAAGGAAATTAGTTACGCGCTTGTGCAAGTACAAAGAGGTTGCCAGAGCAGACAATCTTGTTCTCAGAGACTGCGATCGTGTGGGTTAGCTAAAACGATCACTAATGTCCGTATAGCTTAACAAGGGCAATGAAGACTTTGGGAAAAGATTTATTGGAGAGTTGGTCAAACAACTTCAACATTTTGCGAACAATATAAATATTGTGCTAATGCGGTTTAAACTTCTGACATCTCACCACAATTTAGGGCCTGTTTACATGGAGTTGGGGACCCCGGTCTGGTGGGGTTGGTTTCTTTTGTTTTCACGCTCTGAGGGACACAAAAAAAAGAAACCTACCCCACTAGACCGGGATCCCCCACTCCATGTAAACAGGGTCTTAGTGATGCGATGGAAGTGTCAAACAGTCAAAATCAGCATTGGACAAAACTACAGTGAGAAGGTTGACCAGGGTGTAAAATTAATTCCTTCTGTGAGAATGTGAGCAAAACATTTGCCACTTTAGAAACAAAAAGGGAAATGGAGATGAAATGTGTTTGGTAATGTTGTTTGTGGGATCGTTACTGGGGATGCACCGGTCAGCTATTGGTCAATTTTTTCCCGGTCTCTAGTAACCGTCCCAGAAGTCTTTGCAATGTTAACTCGGCCCAGTTTCCTTCATGTTTCTAAAGTGGCGAATAGGCCACTTCCGAGTTCCAAAAACCCTCACTTTCAAAATGAGGCCAAGTGTACAACCTTTCTTGTGAAAATGAGTTTTATCTGCATAAGAATGAAGAATCATTTCCATATCAAAGGCTGAGCACATAACCTAGTTTTGACACAAAGGCCGGTGGAACTCGTAAATGGTCTATTGCATGTCCTTTGTATTCTCGCCTGAGTCATCTCCTCTCTTCAACACCATGAACGTCTACCACTCAGGTGATAGTACCTGGGGACCTTGGTTAGTGATTGTGATGTACCAAGTAAATACTGAGGGTGGTGTTTGGTGTCTTTTCAGATGCCACCATCCACAACATCGCTTTTGCCAGAAATTCCGTTTGAGCATCCAACTCTGCCCAGTCTCTGGGCTTAAAGGAAATGATTCCACAGTGCTGTTCAGTCTGTACAGTCTAACTACTACACAAACGATTGCACGGGTAATTGTTAAATAGCTTTCAGTACAGTATTTTAAATTCCAAATTGCTGCTACACTAAACTTAACATATTAAACACTTAGTTTTTAACCAGCAGTACATAAGACAACATAATACGTTGTTGTGTCAAATGGAAACTAAGGGAAAAAACCGAGTCCCATCTGGGGCTGGGATTTTTTTCCTGGACCTTTCCATTTGATGCAAAACATATCATGTTCGTGTACTTCTACAAAAGACTCACTTAAGTACATGAACCAAAATGGTTATACCAGAATTTAACATCCATGCACCAGAATTTTTTATGACGGTGTCAGTTTACTACAAGCAGCTACCAGAATGCTTCACAACTTTGTTTTCTTGTGCATATTGTATCGCTGTTTAAAATCCAGCAGAATTACTACATGTGATTTGGGAAAGGAAATGGTCATGAATGACATTCTGTCCTGCAATAGTAAAATGATACTGTCGTGTAAATTTCGCCTATTACATAGAGCATGAGCAACGGGTTATAAAATCCACTGAGAGGAAAATGTTATTTTCTTGTAAGAAATTATTGACAATTCTTCTTGGCCATGAAGGTTACACACGGTTTGACAGCCTCATTGCCTACAAAAAAAACAACAAGAAAACACAGAAAAATTTATCACTTCATCACATTTCATTCTTTCATCATACACTACAATCTTGACATTGCCAATCCTAGCAGTATGCAGGACGCGTGTCAAATATGAACCGTAGTATATGGCCTTGCTCTCCATGAGTTCTCCGTAGCTCAGTAGATAGAGGCCTGCCTGGTGTTTGGGAGGTCATAGGTTCGAATTCTGTCTTCTCCTGATGATTATTTCATTTTCACCAGAAAGCACAAGTCACAAACACAAATTTTTTTCATTCTTGGTGACGTCAATAGACCTTACTCACGATACCCGCCTTCTTTGCACACGCTTTAGGATTGACAGGGTAAAGGAAATGTCACATGGTATTTCAGGGGCAAACAAGTGATAAAATTTGTCAATACGAGCAATCTGGGTAGAGTTTGTTTATTCTATCAACACAAGTGTAAAGTTCGGGTTTCGACAAGTTGTACAGCATTATTGCTGGGGGCATCTATGGTCGTTACTGCATCCAAAAAAGTAACAATATTTATGATCACTTACACCTAAAATGTGCCATTATCCTCCTTTAGGGAAAAAGGTTTTCATTTAACTGTTGTCTAGAATAAACAAACTCAACCATGATTTCTTCTATCGGCAGAATTATTTTATCACTTGCTTGTCCCCTGAGAAACCACGTGACATCAGTCTTTAAGCGCATACAAAGATCGCAGGTATTGTGAATAAGGTCTATTCAAGAGGTAATAAACAACATCAAAACTAGTTCATGGATTGAAAAATCTGATCCTTTGATTCTTAGTAGGTTTTACAACAGAATTTCAACCAAAAATGCAAACATCAGAAGTGCAGTTCACGTCGACATAATTCAATCAGAAAAGGGTTTCACTCTTGATGTCACTCACCTTGCTGATATCAATTCCGGTCAAAGCTTCAACTGATTTGGGCAGGTTGGCCACAATTTCCAGGATTTCTGAAGTGATCTTACTGGCACCGACGTCGCACTTGCCATTGGACACCATTACAATCTTCTTACACTGGGAAATAGGAGCTGCAACTTCAGCTGCAATCTGTGAAATTACAGTCAAAATGAGTTGAGATGCACTACTGGCATATTAAACTTGTAGATGTTGTAGGTAAAATCTGTTCTCAGGTCAAACCAGAATTTCCTTTGTATCCTATAAATAATTAGGGATAGGAAACAAACGGAATTCTGAATCAAACTGAGTTGAATACTGACTTAACCTGAAAACGATTTTACCTACAACAGACACCTGCTTGGAACAGGAGTTAAGTTTCTGTCCCCAGTGTTCTTTCAGACCTACACTTTTTACAAAATGTTTTACACATGGACACGAGGTGTAAGTCTGTGACTATAAAGTACATTAATGACAAACATAAACAGGCTTGTGTAGAAAAAGCCTGGTATATACCTTTGGCATGGTCTCCAACACCATGTCCACAACAGCAGCTTCCCTGTACTCTTTCCATGCATCAGCCTTCTTTGCCATCTGCTCAGCCTCTGCTGTAGCTTTGGCTTCTATGGCAAATGCTTCAGCTTCTCCTTTCACCTGTTAACAACAATGAAAATCACTACCATTCAGTATCAGCCTTTAAACAAAATGCTGTAGACACAATGTTGATGCTAGCAGCAAGCAGGATTTGTGGCAACACATGAAAATGAGAAATTGCCCAATTCTCACCATTAGATCAGATCAATGGTGCTGTAAACATGTCCAAACAGTACAAGTATCTTTGGTATGCCTGCCAACTCTTATGCTTGGCACAAGGCCCATGCCTGCTGATTGAAAACTTTGATTTTAATTTGAGGATGTCACTGAGGACTTGGGCCATGGATTTTCCTGGATGCTGTGAGCATGAACCCTACTGGCTACTTTCATAGGAAACAAATGGAAAATTGAACTAAGAATTCCTTAGCTGTTCTTATTCCCTGCCTACCATTTTTTTTTTTTTCTGGCAACTTGAAATCTTAGCCACAGCCATGCCCGTATGTAAGTGGCATGTATACCTTGGGTGTCAATGGGTAAAATCATGTCCCACACTCATTGCATGCTTGATATTTTTTGTATCTTTCTCAACAATATTACTAATAACAGTATCTTTCTTTCTTTAAACTCTACTAACCTTTATGGCTTCAGCTTCAGCCTCAGCTTCAAGTATCACACGATTCCTTAGAAAGGAAAGACAAGTAAATAATTGATTTCAGATTCTGTGGGTTAATTACTGACAGCTTAGCTCTAAAGCCAGGGATACACAACCCAACAATGTCTTGTCCAGCTCAATACAACTAGCTGAACTGAGAATTGAGACCAATAATCTGTTCAAGAATGTTCAGCATGATAAAAGGCCTATTTTAGCAAAATAATAGTACAAGTTTATCAACAAAAATGTGAAACCCTGCGGCACTGGCAAAGAACAGCATCTTTCATTAACTGCATACCTGTTGGCCTCGGCAAGTTTTTCCACTTTATATTTTTCAGCTTCAGCTGGTCGTTTAATGGTTGCCTCCAATTCACGATCTTTCCGAGCAATTTCCTACAATATTGTCACAACAAACAAAGGTAACTACAAGTACAGAGTGACTTCTCTAAAATCCATACTCTTTTTGGACAGGTTTAGCTGCCTGCTTTGCAATGAAGTTGCAGGCTCATAATGAATAGTAGGCAGAACTCACCCCAAAGGCACAAGTTCTTTAGGGCTGAGGTATCTTGGGATATTTTGAAATTTAGAGTCTCGGAAATGGCATTTCCAGGGGAATTCAAGAGGTATTTTCCACCGTGGACGCCATGTTGTTTCGTCAGAATGCACACAAGACTGGGAACAATGCTGTCAAAATATCCCAGACGTTCCATGACATCGCATGGTTCGAATATTTCACAGAGCTAAACCCGTTTAAATAATATTACATGTTCAATGCCATCCAAAACTGGAAACGGATGGTTTACAATTTTATTCAATGGTGCTTATTTTTTTGTTAGCCGTGTCGCCGGCTAAGGAAGGCTAACTAGCCAGCAGTTTTGTCTACATGTAGATAGTTACACCTGTACCTTTATAGTAAAAGCACCATATCTGGTCTTGCAAGCATGACGCTGAGTTTAAGAGGTCGTGTCACGGCTGTTTAATTCATTTTCCTGATATTGCCAATTACACTTCCTTATGCACTTTGGAACTTAACATTAACAAAGAAATTACTTATAAATGACAAAGATCACAGCTTCTTGTACAGTGACAAGAACCACAACAACAACAAGGTATTACCTGCTCTTGAACATTAATCTGCTGTGCCCTTTCCACAACTTTGATCTGCATCTCTTCTTCCTTAATCTTCTGTTTTGTTATAGAGGCCTGAAGATTGTAAGCCAGTTCTGACTGGGCTTTCTATTATATCAAACAGACCAAAGTATTATTAAGTTAGCTAAGTGAACGAAAAAGACATAATAATTATTATATATTTTGTATTATCAAAGTTAAGTTTGACCTTTGTGACCATTTGCCTTTTGTCTGTCATTAGTAAACAATGGCTAAAATAATATAACTACTACGTCAACCAATAAGAGCTCCTAACCAGATACCAGACAGATTTTACATCATCAGCATGGAATTTCTGTTGCTGAGGTGCACATGTCCCTCTTGGTGAAACATTCCTAGCGGGGACGAATGACGAGAGATAGCTGTTTTCGCAGGCTATCTGTGAAAACTTTTGAATAATACCTTGGTCTGAACTTCAATGTCATATGCAGCCTTCTTTAACTCATAGTCTCTCTTGGCTTTGGCAATCAGTGTGTCATTCTCAAACTTAGCTTTCATGCGAGCTTCTTCAGCTAATGCTTCCTAACATGGGATAAAATAATTCAGATTTTATCAAGTCAACATGTATACGCAAAACATCTATACCCAAAATTACCACATACACTGGTATAAAATTACAAAAAATTAATACTGGGACTTTAAATCGACAGCCCTTGAAATATTGCTAAGAGAAATGGAGGAGCATGTACATTTTGTACAAGTCAAATTTTCAATTATTACAACATCACTGACACACAAAAATGAACAAAAATAAAAATTAATTTAAACCAAGACAAAACTTCAACCTCAGCATATATATACAATATAAAAATCTGACACACAGATGTGTTAATGTGCACCATATCAATGATAAACTTTTACCTTGATTCCAGAATCTCTCTGAGCCTCTGCTTCACCAATCCTGGCATCTCTTTTGACCTGTGCAGTCCTGGCCATGCCAAGAGCAAGCAAATAGCCCTGAAAAAAGGGCAAAACACTTCTTAGTGGTACTTGTGTATATTATACACAAGTACCACTAAGAAGCTAAAAATGCAGGGAACAGGACAGGGTCATATGAACATTAAAGAAATTGCTTGCCGTTTGGGTAAGCTGTTGCTAAAGTTTACTAGCACAGAGGAGTTGTGCAGCTGGTTTAAATACCAATCCCCTTTTCACTAACATTTTTACTCTTTCCGCAAATATTGTTTGCCTATCTGAAACTGGCAATTAAAAATACTCAAATGGGTTGCTCCACTACCCCCCATGCAGGTAAGTAAAAAAAGTGGTTCCATGGGTTTACAGGCGAGGTCAATTTTTATTTCTCTTTCTTTTAAACACTGTACACACGACATTACAATACATTGCCCATGTCATACGAACAACCACAATTTAAAATTGAACCAGGTATAAAGTAAACACTAAAAATGATGATGACAATGACAATGATGATGATGATTGTGGTGGTGGTGGTAGTGGTGGTATAGGTGATTTGAAATTAATTTATCCTTTCACATGTTAGTTACCTCATCATCTCTGATATCTTTTATTGTGTAGCTCACAACACTGATTCCCATGTTAACCAAGTCAGATGATGCCACCTTCAAAAAGTAAATTCAAAACATAGTTGCTTAGTAATGCATATACATTTGCATGTAGTAAAAAAATAATGCTAACAACAATGAAGACTGACAAGAATGACTGTTCATTTTTCCATAAGGTACAAGTACCGACAAATGTTTGCCATAAATAAATTTAATCAATCCTCAAAACCTGAAATGAAAGGTTCAACAAACAATAGTGCTTGTGAACTATAACGTCAGGGAATCTCATGTATACACAGCGTTCTCCCTGAATTTTAGCTCAGCAGGTAAGGGACCATTCATAGCCAGAGGTGCACTTTCCTGGGGGGTATGCAAGGGGCATTGGATTGCGGGACATGGCCTTGCTCTTGCTGGGAAATTTAAGAGCTAAGTTCTCTGAAATGTCATTCCTCACTTTAAGACCCATTTTACACAAATTCGCCATTGTTACCTTTACACAACAATTTAAAACGATTGATTCCAATAAATTTACCGTGTCTTCAATGTTCTCTTTCCAAAATGCGTGGCCCATAAAAAGAAAAGCTGTGAATATTTCAGTACAGTGGAACCCCAGCTTAAGGCCACCTCGGTAATATGACAAAACGGCCCCTCATTTTATAATAAAAAACACTTGTTAATACGGTCACCCGTTAATTAATGCTCCGGTTACATGGCCACCCTGTATGCTAATACGGCCAATTTTGTTTGATCCATTGGTGACCATGTTAATGGGGTTCCACTGTACTTTTCCATATATTCATTCATTTCCTTGTGGCATGTGAGAATCGGATCAGATCACAACTAGTGTATTTTTTACAAGTACTTCTTTAATTTTAGTAAACCTTCAGGCCATTGCAGGCGGTAAGAAGTGTTGCTTCAGGCGGTAAATTTTACCGGTTATAACCTGATAAGGAGAACACTGCATACAACTTGATACTTCCTTGATTGTTATGGTATTAAGTAACGCTCAAACCAAGATAAAATGAAAAAGTTAAAAATGTTAACAAAACAACAGGAACACAAAGCAAGAAGGGCAGGAAATAAAAATACACATTAAAATTACTCTAGAAACTAGTTTAAAACTAATTTAAATTCATGTACTTGCATTACTTTACCTCAAATACACTCTTGGAAAACTTCTTACGATCTTTGTAGATTTCCTGTTTTAATTGCAAATTTAAACCATTGGTCATGACAAAAACTTACAAAAAATGACAAACAAGATGCAACAGTTACTAGCGCAGTGCATTCTTTCCATTTACCTCAACAGTCATTGTGCCCATGATGGCTCTCTGATGGCCCTCCTATAAAACAGTAAACATTAACATTAATTGCTGAGTCAAAAAAAGGTTATGGTAAGATGAAAGGCCTGAAAAGAATGTACATAACTAAACAATCTTCAACCTGCTTATAAAATACACTGTAAATTATCCTGTTAGTCATAAGACGAAAGCACAGTTGATACAAGTGCAAGTTTATAGAATGCAAGACTTCTAGCCCGCCACAGACCTGGGTTCAGTTCATCCCCTGAGCACTAGCTGTATTCCAGTCTTATGTTATGTATTTGTGTTCTCAAAAATATTACTCTGAGAAGCGATAAATTTAAAGAGGATTGTTGAAGGTGTATTGTACAAAAATTTGTATATAAAGTGTAGTCAAGAAGCCCAATAAAGGGTTGCTAACAAACTAGTATCCGATCTAAACGTCAATAGATGATAGAAATTAACTAGAACCTCACCAGTGTTTCCAAGGCAACAGAACGCACTTCCTCCTGTGATTTGCCTAGAAACTGTTGGCAGGCTGCATACAACATTTCCTGATTTTGGCCTTGAATTTTTACCTGCAAAATAAAAAAGTTCACTATGTGTGATTTAATTTGTTGGTACTTATATTTTTGTGATTACTGTGGGGTTTTATTTTCGTTATTTCCACACACAAATATGAAAAAAAGGTATTAAAATTCACGATTTAAGAGTTCTCAACTTCATTTTACTTATTAAAAAAGTCTGAAAGTTTTCAAATTTCTAGTAAAACTGGAAAAGAAATGTGTGAAAGCTTCACAAATTAACGTCATTTCACTTCTGACTGAAGACACAAAACCGAGCTCACCAGTAAAACTAGTTAACAAGCTATATATTGTTGATACATGTCCTGTATACATGTATGTTGTTTCTATACATACATACATACATACATAACCTTTATTAAAGTGTCTAGTCATTCTAATGCCTATTGGCACTAATTGGGGACACCTGTTACAAGTTAATAATTTTTTTTGTGCTTTGAATGTTCTATATGAGGTTTTACTTTTGCATGCTTAAATTTTGCAAGGATTTATTTTTGCAATTTTTTTACAATCACAAAAAACACGAAATTTAAGACCCATGAAATTAAGTACCAATAAGTTTTATAACGAACATTTCCAATCTTCGCCTTTCAGTCCAAAAGGAGACTATTCTGTGCTATGTGCATTTTCTAATCCCCTTGTTCTTCATCCTGACCTACACTGTACCAGTCACTGTCGAACCTCAGTTCTTCAAAATTAATGACAACTGTCATGGGTGTCATGGTATGCCTGTGGTTTTAGGTCACGTGATTAGAAAAACATGTACTTCATTGTTGTTGTATTCTTGGTGACCATTAAAAGGGTGAATCTATTGCCAGAGTCCTTCATAAGTGAGACCGCTATCGTTACAATGGGGATACCTTTTTTAAAAGTACAAAAGTAGTTAGAAAGAAAGCTAAGGTTTCTGGCAACACCTCAAATTAAACCCTCTTCACTTGAACCTAACATACATGTACTAATACATGACCCTCCAAGAAACCAACAGAACAACATATGCTCACAGGTATTTACCTGAGCTATTCCAGTTACAGAGATAGGCACTCCATGGCGGGTATATACACGAGGAGATTCCACATTCAGGGTCATAGTGTTCAGTGATATTCTGTAAAGAAACCATACATAACATTATAAGGTGAAACATCCAGTATGATGACTGATCAAGAGCAGAGATGTCCACTGAAGCAACAATAATTTCACACAGTCTTGATACTGAATGCATTGATGATCCTTTTAGGGATTACCCCCATAAAGAGGCTACTTTTCACAAAATGTGTGCATAAAGTAGCCAGCTGTAATAACAACTGTCCATTCCTGTCTGGAAAAGTGGACGAATCGATTAAAAATTACTGGCTTCTAACCATTTCAAAACTAGTTTAACAATTGGATCATCTGGATGTGGTCCTGTGTGGTGTATGAGTTGTGAGCAAAATCTGTTCTCAGGTTAAACTAGAGTTTCCTTTTTCTCCTATGAACAATTAGTGTTATGAAACAAAGACGATTCTGAAACAAACAGGTTAAATACTGATTTAGCTTGAGATCTGTTTTACCTGCAAGATATGCACTTTGTATAAAGAGGGTATTACATGGCTGCGCAGACATGTTTCATTCACTGTAGCCATTTAATTTGTATTGGAAGCCAGTGGTTTCAACCCATAGCAAGTTAGCCCCTAACTAGTTAGCCCTGTTAGAAATCAAGTTTGTCCCCAACCTGCCAAGTTGCGACCACTTTGGTCACCATGGCACCTAAAATTTTGGAGCTGGCAACTTGATTTGTAAAAAAGTCTCCCTAAACCAAAAGAGTTGGTTGCCAAATGGCGACCGAGCAAAAAAATTTAACTTGGAGGTTTGGTCCCATAGTAAATTTTTTTGCAAAAACTATCTGGTTAAGAGTCTGAAAGGGTTAAATTTTTATGACAGCCAGACTCAATTCAAACTTTCACAGAGTCCTTCATAGTCATGCTATCAGGTTTTGCCACTCGCTTGGGGCGCTCCAGTCCACGCTTGCTTCACGCTTACTGCAGTCTGAAAATTCTTTACTTCGTATTACTGAACGAATAGAGATAAACTCATTGCAGGTCTGTTCTAGACTCTCTGAAAAGCTGAACTCGGACGCAAGGTGAGACAAGTACATCTATTCAAAAGCGTACAATGTGGTGTTTGCATGCACGGGAAAGCATTAACGAGGCCCTCTTAGGAGGGATGGGGGGGGAGGGGTGGTACGTATGTCCCAAGTCTGAAATATTTCAAATACGGCCTTTTCGTGTTTCAAGGAGTAAGCCATGCCCCTGTTGGTATTTAACCAACGTCGCTTTTTCATCTTGTCTTGTGTCGCTGTTTCAAGGCCATGTTGCTTGTTGGAATTTTACCCAAACAAGGCGTCGTAAATTAAAAGCCTGAATTTTGAAAATTTTCATGTGTAGGCGGAGATGATCAAATGATTGTTACTGTTAACCTGCATTAAACTTTTGGTTATTCATGAATACACAACCACTACTAAGCTATTTTACAAATAGGAAAAAATCTGGGGCTAACTTGCAGGAGGCAAACTCACTGATGATTTGTACATTTAAGTGATTGCAATTTATTCATGAAAGGTAATCTTGACTATAAAAGCCTTCAAATCATTTTGAAGTACATTGTAGGGTTTTCCCAGTCGCGATGTTTTATTCAATATATTTAATGCACTTTCAGACTCAACGTACGTAGGCCTATATCAAAACAAAAACAAGGGTGTGTGATGTTACGGTTTAAAGTCAACTTCTCTTGAGATTGAATATAAGCTACATAAGTTAAACCACATATGGAAAAGACAACGCTAATACGGGTCATAAATTCATCATGTTTTTGTTTTCTATTCCAACATCAGGAAGTTAAATTGCGTTCATACCTTCATCCCATGTAGATGTATTTCCCATGACACCCGTGATCGGTGTCACATTCTCAAACACATCAACAAACTATTAGAAAGCAGATTTTTCAAAATTGCCGCTTCGAATACACGAAATTGTTTGACAAAATGTTACATCTTCTTAACTTTGAGTCCACTCATTACGTTTGCATTTTTAGCGTTGCAAAGATCGGACCACCTCAGCAAAATTCTATTGTGGTACATAGCGTGCGTAAACTGCATGAATTTCCTTGACTCACTTTTGCAGCTTTTGAATCCATGGCCACACAAATATACGGCCACCTGAAACTAGAGCAGGCTTGGTGTGGCATACACCTGCAAAACAGATCAAGAAGACAGGAAATTTAGGGCAGAGATATTCTGATTTCGGAAGATCATTCAAGCGAACTACAGCAAAAAACACCTGCGAAAATGCAATTCCAATTCAAGCTCATTGCTGAGGGGTTTTATAAAAGAAAACGTAACATTGATCACGAAGATATTGGGGGAAATACCTGATACCACCATGGCTTCATTTGGACCACAAGTTTCGAAGAAAACCATCGCGAATAGGGAGCAAACCTCGTCAAATTTTCCTCGTTCTTGGGCACAATAAATTCGCAGGGTTATCACGTGACTATTATGTTGACGCCTTCTGCCCAACAACCACAGGTCACCCAATTTTATGCAACACTGGTAAGTCGATATTCATCCGAGCTAATCAATATTTTATCGCTTTTGGCCCTTGCGTGTATCGACCTTCGGGTCCACCCCGGCTTTTTACAACACGTGCCCAGCTAATCGGTCGTCCTTTCTCTTCGTTTACCCAAGGTAAGATGGCGGACCATTTTTTGTGAAGTTCAGTTTTGGCGCAGAGCGCTTCTTGTGATTGCTCTCCTTGGGCAATCTAATGTCTTTATTAGTGATTGAAATATAGTCCATTCTTTATAAGTCCCAGATGCTTAAAATAAACGATTTTGTTCGACATTCACTAGCGATGTCTTGTAGTTTCACAAAAACATTCAGTTGTTCTAATCTTAATCGCGATCTTATCGTTTACTTTGACTTCTGTGACGGTCCATTTGCAGAAATATTGAACACAACATATCCCTTCTTTTAAATGAATATTTGACATTTCCTCTAAATCCACGTTATGGGCACAATTATGTTAGTATCAGCTACTTTAGCCCAGAGTCTGCAAAACTCACATGGTTTTTATACCCTTTTTGGTTCAAGTAAGAGGTTATTTTTCTTCATAGAATTACACAAAACATTACTAACTTGTAACAACAGTACAACATTAGTAACTAGGCGTAGTTTTTTAGGACTATAAGAACTTGAAAGTCTTGAAAATTGTCTGTAAAATGAAGACATATACTCCTTGACTCACAAGCATCTGCTGAAATATTATTTGATTTATCTTGGATAAAACAAACACCAAAGGTCAGCTAGACTTAAGTGTACGAGGTGTCTGTCTAATAAGTGTAGCACATGTTAGCCTTCATAACAGGCATTATTATTTCGCATTTTCAGGTGAGCCAAGACAAGCGCAAAGCGAGTGTTATGCATGCTTAGCAGCTGATAAAAATTGTATTCTTTAAGAGCAAAATAACTCCCCTGTCTGTGATACAGGATCAGATGGACCCACATGACTGAAATCCTTCCCAGCGAGTTTCTTGGTGTTACAGCAAAAATTTTTTTAATTTGTTTTTGTTTTTTTTTTTGGTGTGGGTATTGTTCACTGCCTTATCTCTTGCACCTTATTGGTACTTAATTTTGCAGATCTTTAATTTCACGTTTTTCACTTTTGTAACAAAATCGCAAAATAATAATAGACCCACAAAAATGAATCCTCACGAAATTTAATACCCGTATAGAAAATTCAAATAACAATTGACATGTAATAGCAATGATATGTATTGACAAACACAAAATGCTTTCTGGTTTACTAGTAAGCGCCATTTTGTATCTTCCGTTGTGAATTGACATTAGTTTGCAAAGATTTCACACATTGCTTGTTCTAGATAGTTTATCTAATTTTTTAAAAGGTTCAGACTTTTTTAAAAAAGAAAATGAAATTGAGAATGCTTAAGTCGTGAAATTTGATGCCCGTTTTCATGTTTACTTGTTAAAATTGCAAAAATAAAATCCTGCAAAATACTGTCTCACCAAAATTGCAAATTTAAGTACCCACAAAATTAAGTACCAATAAGGTACATGTATTACATCATTTGGTGAATGCACCTGTCAGCAACACCAAGAAACTACTCTTCTAGCTTTCTAATTAAGCGGGATCTAAGATAGAATACCTTCAGCTGGTTTTTCTCTTGACAAGATGAGAATGTTGGAACAAATTTGAAAGTGTGTGTCAGGGTGTCAGTCCCTACCACTCCTATGGTCGTGTGAATTGACTGATTGGTAACAGTGACAATTATTTGAGTGTTCATCTTGCGACTCATCTGCATGTTACAGTTTTCCATTATTTGTCTGAAAGCAGCTCAAGTTATTCTGAATAGTCATAGTATACTTGCATGTAAAATTAGATCCTTTTTCCCAGAAGTAGTTGTTCCCTTCTAACCGTCATTGATTATGGTGCAAGGTGCCTTTAAAGGACTAGTATTTAAGAGTTTTTACAATTTTTGAGACATGAGAGCGTGTAAGATGACTTCCTTTCCCTAATCCATACAGAAAAGGAACCAGATATCATAAAAGATATCATAATCATGATAGTCTAAGTGAGTTAGTAACATTTTTGTTGTTGGTTTTATCTTTTGTAGTGCCATCATGGCTGAGGATTGGGGAGCCGTTGATGATGCTGCACCTGTTGTAGTTGCACCTGAAGTTCAGGATATTAAACTGTTTGGAAAATGGAGCACCGATGATGTTCAAGTCAGTGACATCAGCTTAACTGTAAGTGCTTTCGTCATTACTATAATTATTCATTACTATAATCTCTCTTTTGTGGCTCTGTGTGGAAAGCCCATCTGGAGGTCTACTTAGTTTAAATTTTTGAAAAGAATGTACTTTATGTGTTTATCTTATTTTCTTCTGTAGCTTTTGACATGTTTTATAATTTACAGGACTACATTGCAGTTAAAGAGAAGTACGCCACTTATCTACCCCACACTGCAGGTCGTTATGCTGCAAAACGGTTTAGGAAGGCACAGGTAAATGACAGGAAATAGCTGGAATTCTGCATGGGTTGGTTATCATTTGATAAAGGGGTCTGGTCACTCTATCAACTCTCCTACCAAGGGTATTGCTTTACAGTAGTTGGTAGTCTGTTCAATATTCCAATACGACTCAGTCCTTTACGTGTACTTTTTGTTTAGTTGGGCAATGTTGTTAAGATGAAAAGATACCTTATTTTGGATGATTTTATCCTAAATTCTCATAATTATACTGAATCAGTTATTTATATATAATAGGGCATTTGCACGATAACGTCTTTTTAATATTAAGACCAGAATGCATTTGGTTTTTCCTTTCCTTTTTTATTTGGTAATCACAGTGAGATTGAAATAACAAAAGCCTTAATTTGCACAAGAAAGCAAAACCCTGAAGGATTCTGGTTGAACTTAGTTAAATGATGCCATTGTGTAAATGGGCTGTTGGCAGATTTAGTGATTGAGCGTTGATCTATGACTAAGCAAAATGTGATGCTGATCGACAAAATAGTGTTTAATTAATGATCTGGATAAGACAGAAAGCAATTTCTTTTGTTGTGGGGCAATATGCTTTCCTCACACAGGATTTTTTTTCATTTTCACACAAAGAATGCATAAAACTGCAAAAAGGCAGTTTACGAAATAATATTCCCTCTTATCTAGACCATTACTTGAATTGGGGGAAGGGTGGGAGATGCATGCAGTAAACAGGGTGCAAAGAAAGTCGCAGCGTGCCATTCGGGCAAGCTGTAGCAAGCATTTACTTGTCCAAAAGTCATTTCCAAAAGTTATTTTAAGTAGCCAGAAAAAAAATGTTTGATGAATAGGATTGATTACAGGTCTTCTGTAATTTAAATTCCCCAAAAAGCTTCACTTTCCCATCAGGCAAGTGATGTTGTACTGTCATCTTGTTCCTTGTGTCTATTTTAAAAGTTGTTATTGTTATGGTATCATGTCTAGTGCCCTATTGTGGAGCGTCTGGTGAACTCCATGATGATGCATGGACGTAACAATGGCAAGAAACTGATGACTGTCACAATTGTGAAGCATGCATTTGAGATCATTCATCTGCTAACTGGAGAGGTAAGTCAGAGTAAGAGAAAAATTTTCTTATCCGCTTGCTCTTCAAACAAGCACTATATTAAATTTGGTTATGCGAAACCCAAGAGTCTTTGTCCAAAAAGTTTTGCTTAAAACTCAAAGCTCAAAACAATTAGGCATTTAATGTTTTTAATCACATTGTTTGTAATCCTTGTAAATAAAATTATTGTTCTTGACTTGAGCCTGAAATGGAGCTCATAAGAACAAATGAAATGGCCACACAATGGAGAAGTTGAAAAGAATATTTAACCTTATTTTTTCAAGTATGAGGTTTGCTTTTATTAGTATAAGATAAATTTTAATTCTACTGTAATCTGAAGTCAATTTTCAACTGTTTCTCTATTTTTTCTACTTACAAATGTGGTTGTCTCATGGAAAAGTCATGTTGAAGTTTTACATGTCCAAACTAAATTTCTACCCGTCCCGGACAATTGGACATAGGTTTTGGCACACCCTATAAGTGTCTGGGCTGTTGGACTTTAAAGGTGATAGCTATTATACAATATTGATTCTGTGGGAATTTAAGTGTAGCTGAAATTGATATTTTATATCCCAAGGTGCCGTCAATCATACATACAAACGTATACTACATAATTTATTACTCACAAACCTTGGAAACAGACAATGACAAGATTTCGCTGGTGCATATCAAGCAAAATTTGAATACTCTGTGAAGAGATTCAACTAGATTCAATCTTAATCATAAACAAAGTCAATGAATAGGTCATCTTCTTCAAAATTAATAACTGACTAGTTTAGTTTGTTCCCAAATTGTTATTTTACTTGTCAGTACAGAAATTAATGGTACTGATATTTCTTGATTGCACCTTTATTCTTAAGAATCCCCTGCAAGTGTTGGTGAATGCCATCATCAACAGTGGACCACGTGAGGACTCCACCCGTATTGGCCGTGCAGGTACTGTCCGTCGTCAAGCCGTTGATGTGTCCCCTCTGAGGCGAGTGAATCAGGCTATTTGGCTGCTCTGTACTGGGGCTCGTGAATCAGCCTTCAGGAACATCAAGTCAATTGCTGAATGCCTTGCTGATGAACTTATCAATGCTGCTAAGGTTTGTATAGTTTTAGAAAGAAAGCTTTTTCGTTTTTGCTATGTTGTCAATTATTAATTCTCTCTGTTAACACAGTTTCGCTCAAACTGATGTGCTTTTATAATGCCGCTGGACTCAATGAAACCCCTAGAGTCTCCTGGCCTGAAAGCAAGAGTCTATCCCTTCTTAAAGGTTCTATTTACAGACACTAAATATGGTAGATAGCAGTAACCATTCCTTATTTCTTCAAAGGTGAAGGGATTGTTAGATTTGCAAAAGGTTTGGTGATGAAACTGAATTAAGTGAACACGAACACACCTGATAGTGTCAGTGTACATATTACTTTTAGTCCAACTTTGATATGCTGTATTCTACAGTTTTATAAGGCTCTACTCCCTCCCCATATGATATGTTTTTACAATCTCTTCTTCTTTGCACCTTCAGTGTTAAGAGGCAGTGTCTGTAAAATTGGTCCAGTGCATTCAGGGTCGAAAAATAGTTTGCCCTCAAACTTTGCCTAGTAAATCATCATTCATAAGTAAATGAAATGACCTTCCAGGGCTGTCATTTAGAGGTGGGGGCCGGGGATTTCCCCCAGCTACTATGAGTGTGGTCCCCGGCTACTTTCATTGGAAAATAGAAGAAAAATCGAACCAAAAGAAACCCATAGCTGTTTGATTCCCTGCCTACTTGTTGTATTTCCCCGGCAACTTGAAATCTTAGTGACAACCCTGACCTTCATTTTGGGAAGTACTTCAAAAGACACATGTTAGAGCACTCAACTGTCAAACTGCTAAATCCCTTGAATTTGCGTGTGGCGAAAGCCGAAAAATTACACAAATTACCAAGCTCGTTTCTCCAAATCCACGAAACGTGAGAAAAATTGTTGTTAATTCTAGGTTAAGGTGATTAACAGTGTGGATAATATGTTAATTTTATATTCTGTTGAACTGAATAGTTTATTGCTGGAAATCAGTCTTAGAGCACCTAAATCAACAACAACAACAACAACTGATTTTGGTTGTCTCCCCTCTTATTTCTATGACTGGTGTGCTTTTTTCAGGGATCATCAAATTCCTATGCCATCAAGAAGAAAGATGAGTTGGAACGTGTTGCCAAGTCTAACCGTTAAAGTAAAATCATGACAGAAGAGTACAATAAAATGTGTTTCTGAATAACCAACTTGTTTTTGGTGTTATTACAGCTTTACATTTTACTCTGGTCATCATTTTAGTTCCAATGAATTCATAGATTAAAAACTATTAAAGCCTAAGTTGTTAAACTATTTTTAGAACTATCCTGGCCCTTTATGTTCTATGCTAAGATGGCTCGACCCAGTTTTTTTTTAGGCTCACCTTTCATCTCAAGCTAATTGCCAGGGTTCTCTCCCTTGCCTCAAGATAGAGAGAGAACCCTGGGAACGAGGTCGCTTCCGTCTTTGAACCTCTTATCCCTGAACAGCTTGACCTTTTATTGGAAATCCATTTTAGAACATGGATTACATGTGGACTAAATTTTAAGGTTTTTTTTAGATGGAATGAATATCACCTGACCATGGCGTCACATTAGTTTTTAGATCTGAATCAAACTTGTGCTTTACCTGCATTTTGTCTTGAAATGCTCTACGCAACGTATACTTAGGATGCTTACCTCCAGCTGTGCAAGGCATTTTGAGATATCTTCGAACTTCTTTGTAAAGGGTATAATTTTATATGCGTGGACTAAAGACTGGACATCACATCACCGAACAACTTGATCCAAATACAAACCGCTGGAAGCAGATAAACTCGCGCAATTTCCATCCCAAAAATTTTTAAAGGAACTCAGTCTATGAATTGTGATCTAATCGCTGTTTTCGCCAGTGACCTCAAGGCTTGTGAAAGAACTCAGCGTTGCTTCACCCTGATTCATATTGGCCATTTGCACATCTTCCATAATACACCTTGTTTACCCCCAAAACTTGACATAACCTTCGTTTTTTATTTCTCCTGGGTATTGCTGTAGTCCCAAGAGAAATAGAAGAAAATGCTTCTGCAAAATTTTGGGGGGCAAAGAAGCTGTATTATGGGAGATGTGCAAATGGCCAATATGAATCAGGGTGAAACACCGCTGAGTTCTTTCTCAAGCCCTGAGGTCACTGGCGAAAACAGCGATTAGATCACAATTCATCGACTGAGTTCCTTTAAAAATTTTTGGGATGGAACTGGTATCGTTCTACTCAATTGAATACGCCATTTGCACGATGACGTCATTTTACTGCTTTGACCAGAATCCTTCAGGACTTTCCTTTCTAGTGCAAAAACGAAAAGGATTGTGGTCTTAGTGGTAAAATGACGCTATCCTCCAAATGACCTATTCAATTTTTCATTTCCTCACAACTTACAAGGTGGAAGAAAAAAGGGACGCGCGTGATCTGGGAAAGGGGGCGGCGGCAGGAAGAGAGGGAGAGAGAGACTCCGCCGGCTTATTTCTGCCCAGTCACCGTGCGTTCAGCGCTTCAACTTTTACGATCTCTGCACATAGACCTATGCTGCTAACTCAATTTTGTACCCGATTCAAATCTCCCGGGGTTAAGATTCTTTGTGTATTGTATTTGCATTATAATGTGGCATTCACATTTAAATGATATTGGAAATTCCTGAAACAAAACGTTTCATTACCAAAGGGTTTGAATTGGGTAAAACATTGAGTTAGCCGAATAGGTCTATTACCATCATGGAGCCTGGAACAGGCTAAGTAAACAGATAAGAAATATGCGAGAAACGTAAGACGGTCAAGTTGTAGAAAACAGAGGACAAAGAAAAGAAGGGCTAGAATAGATCCTTGAGGAACATCACATTTGATTTGTTGAGTCAATAAGTAAGTTGTTTTAAACACGTTTTGAAAGAGGGGGACATGCGGGTCTACGGTATTGTGGTATTGGGCTTTTTTTCATGCGGTGTTTCGGTAATTTTAATTTTAACGTGCGGTATTGCGGTATCATCTAGCTCTGCGGTATGCGGTTTTTCATCATTTTGACTGACGGTATTCGGTGAAATAAGATTGTTCACAGTATTACGGTACCGTTTATTTGCACTTTCCTTTCGATACAATACGCAAAACAAAACAATAAAAGTTAATATTTAGAAGTCTTGAGACAACGGTAAATGGGTCATTTTGTGACAGTTAGAGCGCTTTTCGATTGAGTGTCGTAAAACCCAAAGTAATCACAACGGCCAATTAGAACAAACGAAAATATCAGAGGGAGCCAATGAGAAATCGAAGTAAACGCATGTAACCGGCCTTAAGCGCGGGAAAACACGAGTAACCAAGTCGCGAATGGTTTTAGTTTTGTTTCTGATTGGCTTAGAAGGTGGCGCGAGTTTTCTAGACCACTCACAGAGCACAGTAAAGCAAAACCAATGCAATCCCGGATTACTTTCGACACTCAATTGAAAATTACTCTAATGGTCGCCTACAATGTGATTGTTGTTGCATCCAATGATAATGAGTCGCTTCAAGTTACCTTACCAGGCTTCTCGATCTGTGTACGTGTGCCAGTCTGCTACACAGCCGTTTTTAGTGCCGTCACGCAACGCTCCTCCCCAGTGGGGAGGAGCGCTGCGTGACGACACTAAAAACGGCTGTGTAGCAGACTATACCTGTGCCGGCAATTCGAGGTCTTACACGTTTTCTCACAATGGCTGAGAAGCTGAGACGGCGAAGACGGCGTGGTCATCATTGACTGTGAGGCAATTTTTTATGAAGAGGGCGAAGGAGGCGAACATTATCGCAACAAGAGTAAGTTGGATGTCAGGTTTCGAGAATTGAAAAACGCCTTATAAAGTTAAAAAAGAAAATCTGGTAAGTTTGCCTCTTACCGGCGCGGCGTGTAAGACAGTCGAGATAGTTGACCCCTGAGATACTGACGTACTAGACTATAGACTCATTCAAACTCGCACTAGACGTGCGTGGAAAGGGTTTTGGTTTGTTTGTTTGTTTGTTTTTTTCGCGCTTTCAAGAGTTATTTTTATTGGAGTTAGTTAGCTGTTGGGTCGACCTACTAAAAAGTTTTTTCCGTGAAAATTTGCCAAAAATTTGCCAACTACCAAAATATTAAGAAAGCATGGACATCTGGTGCACAAATGCCTGAGATAATTAAACGCGCTAGATGGAAGCACCCATAAGTATGCGTAACCGATTATGAATGAGATTAAAATATGCGGTATCGGTATTTAGACGATTTTCGACGCGGTATTTCGGTATTTGCCATTTTTTCTTACGGTATTGCGGTATTGGGTACCCCCTAATGTCCCCCTCTTGAAAAGTAGCCTCTGCTCTAATTAAAAGCAAAGCCGTGAATGCCGTGTTGTTCCAATTCTGAAACAGATCTAGGAAAGCACCGGCACTTTAAACTTGGCCCTCATCAAGGTGAATCAGTGATAATGATTTTGATTCAAACTGGAATTTCTACAATATCTCGAGACGTTCTACGTCGGTAGATATTCGATTGTGCATATAAACTCCTTGTAAACGAATTCGAGAAATTCGTTAAGAATGAAATACGGTCATTGATTAATGAAAATTTCAGGCACTCCAGCCTTTAAGACAGGGATGGGCTTGGCAATTTTATTTTATCAAAAAATAATAGCGGGGCTCCCGCGCGCGCGAAGCGCGCGTGGGACAGAGCCCCATACTCATGGAATATGGTCAAGCTCTTTTCGTTTGGTTGTCACGTGATTGACCGAGCGTACGTACATACGTACGTACGTACGCGTCTACAGATTGTACGGGTGGGCTAGGGGAGACTATCAAAAGGAGGGAGGGGTGTCTCAGGCGTGTCTTGGCAAGTCCACATCTTTAAGGACGGTGCCCACTAATGGGAAGTATTTTTTCCCAGATAATGACTATGTGAGACAAGTAGATCATATCAGGGGCTATTGAAATCCAAAAAGAAAACTGGGGGTAACCACGCATTTTTCAGAGATAACTGCGCTTCAATGTGGAGAAAAACGCTGAATAGGCGTTTTTTAGAAAAATGATAAAAAGTCTTTTTTTCCCGAAATTTCAGAGTGTACACGTAAATTGGCACAAATGCAATGATAATTGTAACAAGGTTTCAAAATAGGCAACAAATGATAACATGACAACTGCTCTTTATACGTCTTTTTTTTTAAATATCAGCACAACTTGGAAGTTATAAGCAGTTACCCCTCTCCACGCGTTTGCCTCAAAAATAGTGTAAACGACATTTTCCCCGAACCAAAAATTGATCGTTTTCTGAGTAGGCTTATTACTTTCATTTGGTAAGATAAAAAGTCGGGGTTACCACGCGTTTTTAGAAGTTAAATTGGTTGGTTTCCACCTTAACTTAATCGCTTTGGGGGTTATTTACAATTTTCCCCATCCCCTCCCCGGTCACTTTCACTATTGCTTCACTCAACGCGGAGTACTCTGGGATATCCACAATGGCTAACAGTCAGAGAAAACAACAACACACGGAGGAGAGCAAAAACAGAAAGTGAAGCAGGGCATTTCATGGACTCTAAGGAAAACAAATTATACTATTTCATTCAACTGGAACTTCTCCGTCTCAAACATTTAACTATTTTTCGTTCCTAAATGTTAATTTTAGACCTAACAGTGCCTGATAAACCTAAGAAAGTCTTAGGGCTAAAATGGAAATACTTTATTTTACCTTCCATCTTTAGTTTGTAAACAGCCAAATGTCTAGATGTCCAGATTACGTGTGGCGTGAAATTGAACCTTAAGAAATACTGTCTACACGACAAACTGCCCAATGAGTCAATAATTCCAATGCTTAGTAATGCCAAAATGCTTAAATAACAATGATAATGGTAAAAGCATAACAATTTTTTACGATTTTTGCCACGATGAAAGCGTTCCCTTTGCGGTCCGCAACTATTTGTGAAGTTGCGATCTCAGCAATGCAGGCGATCTTGTGATAGTTTTTATCTTGTTCTTTCACCAAATAATAGCCTCGGACTCTCAATAAAAGGGACATCTGTATGAACTCGAACGCTTTAAATCTATCTTCTAGTGAATAATTATAAAAAATCTTACAAAATTAAAGAAATATTCGGGGAAAGTGTTTATAGCCGATTAGCCGATAAAACGCGAAGGTCGCGAGTG